ATACGCAGCAGAATTTTCACTGATCAATAACAACTAAGGAAATTGAAGATGTAATCAAGACTCTCCCAGCAAACAAAAGCCAAGGCCTGGATGGCTTCACGGGGGAGTTTCACTAAACATTTAAAGAACTAACACCCATTCTCCTCAAACTATTCCAAAAAATTCAAGAAAAAAAGACTTCCAAACTTGTTTTATGAAGCCAGCATAATTCTAACTTCAAAACCAGATAATGACACTACAAAGAAAGAAAACTACAGGCCAATATCCCTGATTAACATAGATGCCAAAATCCTGAACAAAATACTAGCAAATTGGATCCAGCATTACATTAAAAAAATTATTCACCATGACCAAGTGGGATTCTTCTCAAGGATGCAAGGATGGTACAGTATTCAGAAATCAAGAAATGTGATACACCACATAAACAAAATGAAAGATAAAAAAACATATGATCATATCTATAGATGCTGAAAAAGCATTCAACAAAATCCAGCACCCATTTCTGATAAAAATGCTCAGCAATGTGGGAATAGAGGGATCATATCTTGACATACTAAAGACAATATATGGAAAACCTACAGCCAACATCATATTCAATGGGCAAAAACTAAAGTCATTTTCCTTAAGAACAGAAACAAGACAGGGATGCCCACTTTTGCCACTCTCATTTGACATAGTTCTGGCCACAGTAATCAGACATGAAGAAAAAATAAAAGGCATCCAAATTGGAAAGGAGGAAGTGAAACTGTCATTATAGCAGATAATATAACATTACACACAGAAAACCCTAAAGACTCCATCGAAAATCTACTAGATTTAATAAACAAATTTGGCAAAGTAGTGGGATACAAAATTAACATAAAAAAAATCGACAGCATTCTCATACACCAATGACGAACTCACAGAAAGAGAAACTGAAAAAACAATCCCATTTACCATCATGGCAAAAAAATTAAGATACCAAGGAATAAACTTAACCATAGAAGTAAAGGACCTATTTGCAGATAACTACAGGACATTGAAAAAAGAAATAGAGGAAGATATAAAAAAGTAGAAGCACATACCTTGTTCATGGATTGAAAAAATTAACATCATTAAAATGTCCATACTACCCAAGGCAATCAATAGATTCAATACAATCCCCATCATAATACCAACATATTTTATAGAACTAGAACAAATACTTCAAAAGTACATATGGAACCAAAAAAGACCCTGAATAGCCATAGCAATCTTGAAAATGAAGGACAAAGTAGGTGGGATCACAATACCGGGTATCAGGTTATACTATAAAGTTACTGTAATCAAAACAGCCTGGTACTGGCACAAGATCAGGCATATCGGTCAATGGAAAAGAACAGAACAGAAAACCGAGAAATTGACTCAAGACATTATGCTCAATTAATATTTGACAAAAGTGGCAAGAGCATACAATGCAGTAAGGACAGGCTATTCAGTTAATGGTGTTGGAAAAATTGAACAGCTACATGCAAAAAAAAAAAAAAAAAATGAAGCTAGACCATCAACTTACACCGTACACAAGAATAAACTCAAAATGGATAAATGACTTAAGTGTGACTCATGAATCCATAAAAATCCTAGAAGAAAATGTAGGCAACAAAATTTCAGACATCATATGCAGCAGAATATTCATTGATACATCACCTAAGGTAACAGAAACAAAGTAAAAAATAAACACATGGGACTACATCAAACTAAAAAGCTTCTGCACAGCAAAATAAACAACTAACAAAATGGAAAGGGAGCCCACTGTACGGGAGAGCATAATTGCCAATGATACATCAGATAAGGGGTTAATTTTCAAAATATATAGAGTGCTCATACAACTCAACAAAAGAAAGACAAAGAATCCAATTAAAAATGGGAAGAGGTAAAATAACTATGAGGCATCACCTCACACCTGTCAGAATGGCTGCCATCAACAAATCATCAAACAATAAGTGTTGGCGAGGGTGTGGAGAAAAGGGGACTTGAGTACACTGCTGGTGGGAATGCAAACTGGAGCAGCCACTATGTAAAGCAATATGGTGTTACCTCAAAAAGTTAAAAATTGAAGTTTCATTTGACCCAGTGATCCCACTTCTAGGAAAGTATCCTAAGAAGCCTGAAACACCAGTCAGAAAGAATATATGTACCCCCATATTCGAAGCAGCACTATTTACAATAGCTAAGATCTGGAAACAGCCCAAATGTCCATCAGTAGACGAATGAATAAAAAAGCAGTGGTACATATACACAATGAAGTACTATGCAACTGTAAGAAAGAAAGATCTCTTATCCTTTGAGACGACATGGAGGGACCTGGAAAGTATTATCCTAAGCAAAACAAGCCAGAGAAAGACCAGTATTGTATGATCTCACTTATTTGTGGAATATAATGAACATAACTGTCTGAGGAATGGGGTAGTCCCAGAGACGTGGAAGTGGGGTACAGACTGACAATCCCCAGAGGAGGAGACGGTGGGGGAGAGATAAACCACAGAACTTATATGCATGTGTGCATGAACAATGGACATGGACAACAAAGCTGGGAACAGGTCAGGGAGGGAGGGGAAGGCGGGAATCAGTGGGGGGAAAAGGAGATACATCGGTAACAAAAATTAATTAATTAATCAATTTAAAAAAGAATTTGTATATTGAAGTACTTAGGAGTAAAGTGTAGTAGTGTCTGAATCTTCCTTTGAAATCCATAAAAATATAAAATGGGTTAATGGATGGATAGGGAAATGGGAAATGGGTAAATGGAAATATTGGTGATAAAGTAAACATTGAAAAGTGCTAATTGCAGAATCTGGGTTCCTAGGATATGAACATTTTTGTACAATTCTACTAATTTCTCTATTTGTTCAAATTTTTCTATAATAGCATGTTGTGGGGGAGAGACAAAAACTACTGATGCTAAGGAATTCTCCACTAATCAAACTCTTGTATCTTTCTTTGCTCCTGAGAGATGGGTCCATGAGAACAAAACAATGAGACTTTGTTAAGAAATAGTGATTTCAGTCTGGCCAGTGTGGCACAGTGGGTGAGCATTGACCCATGTACCAAGAGGTCACCGGTTCAATTCCCAGTCAGGACACATGCCCAGGTTTTGGGCCTGATCCTCAGTGTGGGGCACGCAGGAGGTGGGAAATCGATGTTCTCTCTCATCAATGTTTCTATCTCTCTCTCCCTCTCACTTCTTTTCTCCACAAAATCAATAAAGGAAAATTTTTAAATTAAATTAAGAAGATATATACATTTAAGAAAATAAGAAACAGTGATTTCATCTAGGTAATAAATCCATGGCAAGACCCTCTGACTCATCTATCTTAAAAGTAGAATTCAGAAATGAGATAGTTGTTAAAAGGAATGCATTAACACATTTTTTTTTAATTAAAAAACAAAGTCAGACTTTTTAAAATAGGGTAGGATTTACTTTGCCAATTAGATTATATGACTGGCTTTTTCTATATTGAGTAAATTTAAATCAGCAGCGCCAAAAAGTTTTGAAGAAAATATATTTAGAGCACAAGATACAATAAAAACATTTTATTTTAAAATACTATATTGTCCCTGGCTGGTTTGGCTCAGCAGTTAGAGTGTCAGCCTGCGGTCCCAAGAGACCCAGGTTCGGTTCCCGCTAAGGGCACATACCTCAGTTGCAGTTTGTCCTCGGCCCTGGTTGGGTTGTGCGGGTGGCAGCCACTCAATGTGTCCCTTTCACGTCGATGTTTCTCTCTCTCTCTCTCTCTCCCTCCCACTCTATCTGAACAAAATATCAAAAAATGTCCTCGGGTGAGGATAAAATATATAAATAAATAAATAAATAAATAAATAAATAAATAAATAAATAAATAAATAAATAAATAAAATAAAAATAAATTTAAAAAACTAAAATAAAATACTATATTGGCAAAAATTCATTCAAATTAACAATATTTTTATTTTTCCAACTCTTTCTGAGTGCATCAGTTTAAATAAGTTACCTCTAAGTGAAAAAGTAAACAGGCATAGTTACTAGTTATCTAAAAAGACTTTTTATTATAGTTTCTAAAAATTGAAAAAGAGAATGATTCTAGTACATAAGTAACAAATCCTTTTTTGCAAGTCAAGTGGTTTCTGATATTTGTTTTCAACACATTTGAAAGAAAATCTAATCAGGTAGTCAGACAATAGATTACAGAAAGACATTTCTGAGAGATCACTGTGTGATTTTTGGCAAATAACTCAGAAAGAGCTGAAGTAATTAAATTACATTCTATTAGAATGCTATCTATATTCCCATATTCATATATGTTTGAACAAGTCTCAGTATATAGATCTCCAAAAATAAAAGTAGAAATAAAATTTATACTAAGCTCTTATTCTAGCAATAGCTAGTATTCATCCATAGATACATGGGAGGAAAAAATCCAACTCATTCAAGGTTGCATTTCTAATAATATTTGACTTTTGTTTTTTTCACACACAGATACTTTATTGGTTTCCTCTACAAGAGTTAGTAACATCAATCTTTTTAACAGAAACCTCAGGTCATTTGAGAGGCCAAACGGATCCAAGGAAACAGAATGAAAATTAAATATTTAAATTAATCAAAAGGCACTACAACACCACCTAGAACCTTCTACCACGGTGGTAGTGGGCTAAGGAAGATTAAGCTACAGCAAAATAATCTCATGTAAATGTTAAAGAACGCACAGCAAAAAGTGAGGTTTGCTTTCCAAGAGACTATGTATGGTACAATGTCCATTGGTGCCCAATAAGGTATTTGGCCAGGAAAAGTTCAAGGTAGTTGAAGGTCAAACCAAATGGAAAAGGAACAGGTACAAAAGAGACTAGGCGACAGTTCCCTAGCAGAGGGTGAAGGGTCAGGCTTTTTTACCTCCCAAGAAGAATCACTGCCTTGTGTGCTGCCTTCCCTCAGGCCCCCACCTGAATGCTGCTTGCCTTACAGGGAATCAGCAATCAGAGCTGGATTCTGGGCTGCCTAGGGCTCTTGTTGTAATTTAGTATAGACCTTAGAGAACTTGTCACATATTATGGGGGTGGGAGGGCGCTTGGGTTAGCTTTGTTCTTTTTCTTTTTATATTTATTTTGGGGTTGGCTCTGTTGCTAGTAGTTCTGAACCTAGGAATCCCAGAAGCATTCATATGAAAAGTAGTCTGAGGTTCCCCAAACATAAACACCCCCACACAATACCCTTCAAAGTCTGAAATCTTGCAGAAGCTGAGCTATAGTTAAAGCTGCAAAGCCCACAAAAGCAAAGAAGCCAGAATGAAATAATGCAGGTAGGAAATCCTAGTAGTTAGTCTCAGTCTGTCTTTCCCTAATTTTGGAGAAAAGTTAATATACCTGGCATGGGATGCAGAAAGCTACTGGAGCAAGCTGGGGCTTCTGCTGAATTTTTCATTGAACCAAGGACAAAGAAGGGAACGGGTTCACTTTATTTTTTTAAAAGCCTCAGAAGTTATTCTATTATAAAGGGACATGGTTGAACAGGTAGGAAACAGAATCCCCATTGTGAGTTCTCCTGATGGATTCTGCAAGGATCATGGAGATGTCGATCACCTGTATTTTGGAGCAATGCTTCATCTTATCCTCCTGAGGTATGGTATTGTTGACCACAACTGCTTCAAAACATGAATTGTTAATGCGAAAAATGGCCGGGCCAGAAAAGATTCCATGAGTCAAGATAGCATAAACTCTGGTGGCTCCAACTGAAAGAAGTTTGTCAGCTGCATGGCAGATGGTGCCACAAGTGTCAGCCGTGTCATCCACTAGAATGGCTACCCGATCCTTCACGTCTCCTATCAGCACCATGCGGTCCACTTCACTGGCTTTCTTCCGTTCTTTGTGAATCAAGGCAAAGTCAAAATTCAACCAGTCTGCAATGGAGGTAACTCTCTTAACTCCCCCAGCATCAGGTGAAACAATAGTGCAGTTCCTCCACTCAGAGATATTCTCCTTTATCCACTTCAGGACAACTGGCTCTGCATACAAATTGTCCACAGGGATATCAAAAAAGCCCTGAATTTGAGAAGTATGAAGGTCCATGGTGATAATATGATCTGCACCTGCTACGGAGAGCATATTTGCAACAAGCTTGGCTGAGATTGGAGCCCGGCTCTTATCCTTCTTATCCTGCCGGGCATAAGGGAAGCATGGGATGACTGCAGTAACACGGCTGGCTGAAGCAATCTTACAGGCATTAATCATGATCAAAAGCTCCATTAGATTGTCGTTAATTTCACCACAGCCACTCTGAACGATGTAGTCATCCTCTCCACAGACACTTTCACCAATTTCAACACAGGTCTGCTGGTTGCTGAAGTTCTTAGTCACCACCTTGACTAGCTCCAGGCCCAGGCGGTCAGCAATTTTCTGGGACAAGTCATGGTGGGAGCTGCCGCTGAAGATTTTGATATTCGGCATCTTAGCCAGTTCCCCTCGGCACTCCTTGTTCAGTGATCACTGCTGCTGCCAGACCCTAACCAAAGTCAACCCAGAGACTCAGTACTAAAAGCTTCACGTTGCTACTCTGCCATCTTACGTTCCCGCCCGGCGCTCGGCTCTAAATTGCCCAGTCTAATATTTGACTTTTTATGTTTTCCATTTATTTATCAAAATGTATAAAATATTTATGTTTTGAGCACTTTTATACTAATAATGGTTACAATAACTCAATTCAGAGAAACATTTTAATAGCTAAAATGTTATGTTCATAGGACATTTGTTAAAATTTTATTTTATATTTATATTTTTGCTGCAAAGAAATATGATAAGTTGATCAATAAAAGACTTTCAAGCATGAAAATCCATCACATTAGCCCTGGCTGGTGTGGTTCAGTTTGTTGAGCATTGTCCCATGCACCCAGACAGCGGTCATAGGTTAAATTCCCTGTCAGGACACATTCCCTGCTTGTGGGCTCCATCCTCAGTAGGGAGTGTACAGGAGGCAGCGATTGATGTTTCTCTTTCTGTCTCTCTCTCTCTCTCTCTAAAATCAATAAAAACATATTTTGATTTTTTAATTATGTTTTAATTGGTTTTTTAGAGAGAGAGGAAGGGAAAGATGTGAGAGAGAAGCATCGATTGGCTGCCTCTTGCATGCCCCCTACTGGGAATGGAGCCTGCAACCAGGGCATGTGCCCTGAGCTGGAATTGAACCAGGACCTTTCAGTCCATGTGATGACATTCAATCCACTGAGCCACACTGGCCTGGCAATTAAAACATATTTTAGCCTGGCCAGTGTGGCTCAGCGGTTGAGCACTGACCCATGCACCAAGAGGTCGCTGGTTCAATTCCCGGTCAGGGCACATGCCCAGGTTGTGGGCCAAATCCCCAGTGGGGGGAATGCAGGAGGCGGCCAATCAATGTTCTCTCTCATCAATGTTTCTATCTCTCTCTCTCCCTCTCCCTTCCTCTCTCTCTTAAATCAATAAAGAAAAATACTTAAAAAAAACCCATATTTTAAAAGGATACATCACATTAAGATGCAATTCAATAGGGAAATGAATGGAAAAATGAATTAAAGACATATATATATATATATATACACATATATATGTATAAAATTTTCTGGCTGTTAAAGAGTTTATTCTTTTAATTTTCAAATGGACAGTAGGTATTATATTACTATGTACTTAGATTTCGTTTAGAATAATGGTGGAAAATAACAATAAAGAATTATGGGTTTGAGGATTTTTTTAAATTCTCACCTGAGGATATGTTTTTTATTCACTTTAGAGAGAGGAAGAAAGAGAGAGAGAGAGAAACCTTGATCAGTTGCCTCCCATACATACCCCGACTGAAGATTGAACCCACAACCTGGGTATGTCCCCTAACCAGAATCGAACCTACCACCTTTCGGTATACGGGATGATGCTCTAACCAACTGAGCCACACTGGCCAGGGTGATGGGTTTGAGTTTTATACCAACATTTACAATAGATTGGAATTTACATTTTGTTATTACTGTGATTACTGTGACTTATAATGGAAACATTTTATATCACATTAAACATGTAAAAGAGGATTCATAAATTTTTAAAATTCTTTTAGGGATATGAGAACAAAAAGAACAAAACCACTAGTCTAATAAACCTTTTTCTACTCTATAATTAAATGATATTCTATTGTATTTCTTTTAAAATTTTTAAAGTTTTGCTTTTACATTTATTTCTCTAATCAATCTGGAGTTGATTTTTATAGTGTATCAAGTGGAGAAATATATTTTCCCCCCAAAAGTAGTCGTGATTGACACAGCAGCATTTCTTGACTGGCCCATTCATTCTTTCCTCACTAATTTGCAATGCTACTTTGGTCATATATTAATTTTCTATATGGAAACATGTGGGTTTATTTTAGTCATTACTTTCTCTTTCATTGGCCTCTTTGCCTATGTGTGGAACACATCACATTGTCTAAATCATTCTAGCCTTTATAATACATCTTGATATTTAGAAAAGCAAGTCTCCACACTGTTCCTCCTTGTTTCTCTTCCTCAAAATTGTCTTTACTAATCTTGCCCTTTTTTTCCATATGAATTTTATAACTAGTTTGTCAAATTTCATTAATAACCTCTGTTGCAATTTTTATTAAAATCACACAGGATCTATACTTAAATTAATTTGGGGAAATATATTTATGATATTGAGTTTTCTAATTCATGAATATTGTGGAGGCAAAGACAGCTAGTTATCTACCCAAAACCCATCCTCCTATCCTTCCTAATAGCACCCTGATTTATTCTGGGTGATAATGTGTCCAGATAAAAGAATACACTTCTCACTCTCCTTTACAGCTAGTAATAGTCAATAAGGTGCAAATGCAAATTCGATAAGGCTTCTGGAAAGGGTCTTTAAAGGGCCCTGTCTTAGATAGGAAGCCATCGCTCATCCCCAGCTTCCTCCTTCTTCCACTCACAAATATCCCCTTTTCTCAGCTCTTGAAATCATGCCTTTACAATCAATTCACACAGCCACTGGCTCTGCTGGGAACTTCCTTATTTCTTGCAATCACCTCCTAAATCATTTTACTGGGTTCCCCATCCCCCCACCCCAACCCAGCCCATCCATTCTCTACATTACTATACTAGGTTGATTTTTTAAAAAATCCAACTCTGATCATTTCACTGCTTTACTTAGAACTCTTTTGATGGTTCTGTTGCCTTCAGAAGTGATTCCTAAACCCGACTGCACTACAATCAGCTGGAGAACACGAGGGAGCTTCATATTCTCCCAAAATACAGCCCATATTTACTGACTCAATCAGATGAGGCGGGAGTGTCTGGGAATTAGTAGTTTCAAAAAGCTCTTCAGGTGGCCAGCCTTCTAGTGACAGTGACACCAGATGGCCACCACCACTGGCCTTGGAGTAAAAGTCCCTCGTAATTTCCAAGAACTGTTGGAAAAACTCGAAGAAGGCCAGAGAGGGGTAGGAAATGGTACAGTTAGCTGGGGTCTAAAAGATGACAAAGAATGTGTCAATGTAAGAAATGTCCAAACCTGTACATTTTTGTTTTATTTGAGCCAAACTGACAATTGCCAGGAAGCAAAATCTCAAAGAATTGAGAAAATGCTCCAGAAAATGGCAGTTTTACCACTTATTTTATACATCAGAATCAAAAGAGAGGATGTAAGGAGGTTACATGAAATCCATTGGTGATAGATTAGGGATGCAGGAGAAAGCAAACCAGGGAAATCTCTGGGATTGGATAACAAGTAAAAAGAATAGACACATACTCCTTTTACATTAGTGGTTATAGGATAGTTAACAACAATTAACATGATAATAATAACAACAATGACATGATTTGTGTTTTCTCCTTTGGTGAGGCTGCTGTGCTCTGAGGAGTTAGTGTAGGGTGGAGAAATTACTTTGATATTCCAAAGATATGTTATCAGGTATGTTATCTTAGATATTTTTAAAAATAGACAATAGGCAGGCTCAGTTAATGTGAAGATGAAACTTTGTTAAGGAAAACTACTGCCCTAGGATATGACTACCCATCACTAACTGTTTTTAGTTAGAAAGTTTTAACTACAGATCATTCTATGTATTTGCTTTTGGCCTCTGAGTTTGTAAGGCCGCTATGCAGGCCTCTTCTGAACTTGTCAAGTTTAGTACATGAAACCTTTCTTCATCCACATAAGACACTTACAAGATGGACAGGGATGATAATTGAGTCTCCAAGAACAATTTATGAAAACCAACTATACAGCCTTAAAATAGAATGTGGACCTAAACACCCAGAAGCACCTCCCTTTGTAAAATTGGTAACAAAAATTAATAGTTCTAATGGAGTTGTGGACCAAAAGCCATATCAGTGGTAACAAAATGGAAGAATTCATAAAGCATCAAATTGTCCTGCAGGAGCTTTGGCACCTAATCATGTCTAAAGAAAATATGAAACTGGGTGGCATAGGCCACGAGGAAGCAAGCATACTCCACGGTGGCAGTGGGATCATTAGCTGACCAGGTCACATGCAGAGATAAGTAAATCTTAAAGAAGAGCTGGATTTGGGAGAAGACGATCTTTTCTTTGGGAGAAAAAAAAGGCAGTGGAGTGAATGGAAGCTACATAGACCATCTCCCAGGACCAAATTGGAATTACAACAAAAATAAAGACAAATCGTCAGGAAGGGGCAACCGAAAGGCAACTTGGAGGACCACATAACCAGGGACACTGACTCAATCCTGGTAGGCTTGCGAGGACACAAGAGGGGGCTAGGAGCCACGGTCCGCAGTGGCCTGGGCTGGGACCAGCGGACTCGGCTGGGACCAGGGGACTCGGCTGGGTCCTGTGGCCTCGGCTGGGTGCTACGGCCTCGGCTGGGTCCTGCGAAGTCGGCTGGGTGCTACTCCCTCAGCTGGGTCCAGCTGCCTCGGCTATAAGCTGCTGCTGCCTCGGCTGGGTACGGAGAACACGGCAGGGCTTGTGGTCTCGGCTGGGTGCTATGCCCTTGGCTGGGTACTGCAAACTCTGCTGGGTGCTATGCCCTCAGCTGGTGCCACAGCCTCGGCCACCCTTGGCTGGGAGCAGCGCCCTCGGGTTAAAAGTCCCAGGCGGCTCCACGACGCAGAGTCAGGACAGAGGCTAAATTGGCAGGAGCCACTCAACTTGGGCTCCAGCAAAGGGAAGGCAGACTGGACTGGAACTGTGTGGGGACACTCGGGATTTGGAGGGTGCTCAGAGCTTTTGCTGAGTGCAGCCACGCAGGACCTTGGTCATCTTACTCCTTCCCAGGGCCCTGGGGAGAGGTGGCGGCCCCTCCCTCAGAGATTCAACCCCACCCGGTGGCCATTGAAATGCTAATTGAGGCCCATTATCAATCAGTATCTGCCCCACCCTCGGAAATCCTCTTACACTGAGCACCTGAGGGAGTTTTACAGTCAACTCAGAAACCAAGGTTCTTCAGGTGACCACTACTAATAGCCTCCAGGCAAAAAAGCTAGAGGATAAATACCATTCCCTGGGCTAGCAACTCTAACCAGAAAAGTTAAGACTTGTCAGTGGTGTTTAAAGTGGGTCCTCCCTGCCTCCCTCA